TAAATGTACCATAGAAAAAAGTCTCAAGGGAACTCTTTCATGAAGCAGGTGTCCTCTGGAAGCTGTCCGTTTGGTAGAGACGGAGAATTCTTCATTGCATAGCTTTTCCAGACAATGGAGGCAAGATACTCAGTGGAGATCATCCCTTGCTATGGAGCTTAGTTAGGTAGACCAAATAACCTGGATCTGTGTTCTGTTGGCTAGCTCCAAAGCTAAAAGACTCTGAAAGTCTCTTCCAGCAGTTTTAATATCTCAAAAATGTAGCTGTTTCCTTCTTGACTACCTGAGGAGTAGTTTAGTACTCTGATGTCAGAACTTTCTCATAGCCTCCCCCGCCAACAGGTTTTCAGAGGTAGTAGACTGCACCCAAGTTGAGTCCTCATCTTTCTTCCATTAAGCAGTAGGTAGATTTGAACCAAGGGCCTTTGAGTTGGCGTTACAACTCTTTACCACCCATGGAGCAGCTGGTGGATTTGAACTAAGAGCCTTTGGGTTGGCAGTACTGATATGACACCAGAGCTCCCTACCCAAGAAGGGAGTAATTTACAAAGCCTGCAGCCAAAGGATGAGTTGGGAAACTCTCAACTGATTTACATTTATTTAAGTGTTCTCTATATGCAATTGAAAACATTTAGCCATATACAAATCAGCTCTTGGGATCAGTAGTCAGAAAATCAAAAGAGGAATTAGATTAGGAAAGTTAGCTGTCAGGGACCTTTCCAGGGTGCTGAAGAGCAAAGACAGATGTCAGTCTAGAGGCTAAGTTATGCCTGATCCAGACCATGGCCTTTGCAATTACTTGCTATGCATCAGAGAGCTGGACAATGAATTATAATAACAGATGAAGAATTAATGTCTTTGAGCTGTGATGCTGGAGAAGAGTATTGAACATACCATGGACTGCCGAGAGAACAAACAGGTCTGTTTTGGAGAGGGTGAAACCAAGTTGCTCTCTGCACACAAGGAATTTGAAGCTCTGTCTCATGTATTTTGGACATGTTGCCAGGAGGGACCAGTCCTTGGAGAAGGACATTGTACTTAGAAGGGTAGAGGGACAGCACAGGAGAGGAAGACCCTAGATGAGATGAATTGACATATTGACTGCGTTTTTAGGGGCAAGTGTGTTGGAGGTAGTGAGATTGGCTCAGGATAAGACAGGGTTCAGATTAATTATGCATTGGGTTGTTATGAGTCAAAGGCAACTTGACAGTACATAACAACAACATAAGTGTTTTCAGAAGGGAAAACAAAACAAAACAAAACCCAAGAACATCTTGCTAGCCCATAAATTCTGAGGGTATTTTCAGAAACTAGAGACAAAAGGCTGACATTAAGTTCCTTCTCTCACAAGGGTATTTCTAAGTGAATATTTAAGCTTTATTTGTCGCAAAATATCAGTGAACATTTCTGTCTCTTTGATCCTCAACTTTATAATGAATAAAATGAACATTAAAGTATTTGCTTCTAGAATTTCTGTGAGGATTAAATTGCAAAGTGTAAGTGAAAAGGCAGCCTCAATCTTATGTCAGGTAGATAGATAATAGGTTATATAATAGATAAAAGATATCGATGTTATATAAAGATACATATATAGAATGCTTGATATATTTTCAGTCTTAGAATTATAATAGAAATTTGTTGTAGTTGTTGATTGTCATCAAGTTGAGCATGACTCTTAGTGACCCTATGAACAAAAGGCCTGAAGCCCCTCTACAATTATCGACATATATCAAAGTTCACAGAGTTCCGGAGGCAAGTTGTTTAGGAAATGGATAACACTCCTGCTTCCAAAACCTGTCATAGTATGTCATTGTTAATAGGTACCATTGAGTCGCCTGTGATGTATAGCAACCATATAGACAGGCAAAAAATGTAGGTTAAAAAACAGTCTAGTAACATATTAAAATTTGAATAAAAGTAAAAACTATGTATGCTTTAAAATCCATTATTATTTATTTATGCATGTACTTTTGCATTTGTATGATAAAACATAAACTTGTAAAAACTGTGAAGACTGAAAAACAAAGAGAAGAGCCAAGTAAAGAATATGAATCATTTAATCAGATAGAATTCAAGTTTATCCCCAGGTCATTTGCCTTTTATTCTTCATTTCAGTGTGTTACATTTCTAACAGTTATCACCAAGGTTATGCATGCACCTTGAAAGGTTCACAAGAAGTCCACAATACAGAGGCTCATAATTAGGTTATCTGTTATATTCTGAATCCCAGGGGACCTAATAGAATCTGGAAATATTAGTTAAGCATGGTGAAAAGTTCTTATAACAGTTTCAACTACAACAGTTTTAAAGACAAGTACAAGCTTCATTTGCCACACAACTCACAAAAAAATTGATGGAAGAATATATCTTTTTATGCAAAATATACATTTTAAGATATAATTTTATATTCTACTATTTATCAACATTGCTCAATAATCATTTAATAAAAAAATACTCTCACTGGCAGAATTTTAATTTCATAATATTTATAATTGAGGTAACAATGACAAAAGACTTAAAACTATAAATGACATTGGTGGTGGTTTTGTTTTTTTTGAAGTCATAACAATTTTTTAAGAACTAAACAAGAATGTGGCTAAAAAGTGATCAGTTTGATAAGTAGGCACTAATATTTCACAGCATAATTGACAAGCTGATTAACATGAGTGGTAGATAAGAAAATGATACAGTCAGTGTTCATGTACCCATCTAACAAGGTAGAAATAAGACTAGTTAAGACACATCTATACTACATTGATATCACTGCCTGTATAATTCAAAGAACATCAAACTACAGGCCCATGAGGAATAATTCACAGAGATGTGGGCCTTACTTGAAGCTCCAAATGATGACCATGAATTTGGCTTCCTTTGATGTGAAATGGCCAAAGCAGTAGGCCCATGCACACATGATGGTATTTACAGTGGTTTCACAGACACTGGCCAGTCCACAAGGTGACCACTTAGACCGGGAGCACCAGATGAGTTCCAGTCACAGTTTAAAAGTCTTATGAAGACTCAGGACCTCTTTCAGGTGCAACCTGGTCACATTAAAGCACATTCAGCATCACAAGTCTGTGTCCAGTATAGTCCTTGGTATGGCTAAATTCCACTGGCCCTTTTTCTGCACTCAAAAAAATCATGGCAAAATCCTGCATAACACTGTCATCAGTTACAGCAGCACCAGACAAAATGTGAGTTCCTTTCTCATAAAGCTGTAGGGTAATTAGATCTTTCTATTTTTGATGTTATCAAAATAATCATTGCATCTCTAAATATCAGAAATGTACGTCTGGATAAATACATTGCTGTACAAAATCTCTGACATGCAGGTCATGCTCTAAGATTTGAGAATACAGATACACATATGTTACATGACCAACAGTAACAATGCATTCCTAAGAACAAAACCCAACATTGAAAATCAAGAATTTCACAATGGTCTCAATGATCCTGAATGCCTTAGAAATATATTTCTCTGTCCATTTATGTTATGGCATTTTTCTTCTCTCACCAGTCCAGACACACTCTCTGTGGCATTCATAGAAATGTGTAAATGGAATTCCTCCCATTCAGACTGAATAGGATTCCCTGGGGCTTTCGGTGGAGTGTAATGATGGATGCTGGTTGCTAGGTAGTAGAAGCTGACAATGCAGCAAGCAACCAAGTGAATGGTGAAATTGCTCCTTCAAACCTGCTTACTCAAAAGGTTCACCATCCCGATAAGCGCTTAAGTAGCCCAGTGGGCATCATTAGTTAATACAGAAGGCAAAAAGAGGGAGGGATGGATATCGAGTACTAAAACCGTAAACACCTTATTAAGGTGTTTCTGTGCTTCATGGAGATATATGGCATATACAGTTAAGACACGGAGCTCAGAGAGACAGACAGACAGACAGACAGAAACAACACACAGGACAAAGCACCTGATTAAACACTGCCTGAAAGCCTGATTAATTCTGTGATTCAGAAATTTAAGGCTGGTCAAAAAAAGCTTTTCGTGATGACCATTATCCTTTGAGGTGTGCACAAGAATTGCAAATGAAAAATAAAGGGAGTCCCCAAAAACCTTAAGAACTGTGGACGATACTTGGCACTCTGCTTCTGAGAATGATGGCAAATCTTGCGTTAAGAAAATCTGTATCGGGCAGTTAGTTTCTGGCTAAACAACACGAGTCTGACTGTCTGACCTTTCTCTTACATTTTGTGCTTTTCCCTAGCTGTTAAGTGGCATCTGGCTTTGACAGCATGTAACCAATAATGACCACTTCTTTGTAGTTAACTACATGCAAGCAATCAGACAGTCAGAACTGCAATACAACAAATTTGGAAGAAAAGCAAGTCAATCATGTAAACAAACTATTGTAAATAAATGCTACTTTCACAGGAAAAAAAAATTCAAACAAGGAGAAAAATCGCCCTTCCCCCCTCCACAAGTCGACATGCTGATCAATCGACCAGTACTTTCTTGTCTGCAGGAGAGTTCACTGCAAATATATATACATATCCTGAGCCATTCATGGTCCCCAGACTCTGCTGCATCGCTCTCAGGTGATAGAGACAAGACGATCCATGCAAATGAGTTGACCACAGTCATATTGTGTGTTATCAAGGTACAATCCCAGACATCTTCCGAATGAGTTAGAGTCACAGGAATGGAGTCCAATGGAGTGGCGGGCATTTGGAAGCACATGGTTTTAAATATATCTCCCTGAAGATGTATTTATGGATTGGTGTACTGGCCAATATTGACACTATCTGTCATTTTATTGCAAAAAGAGATCAGGGCAATTAGTATGGAGAAGTAGTAGCACTACTTTAAATAATCTTTAAAGCCATAATAAGATCCGTTAGCTACCCAAGTGGCATTTCTGACTCCAAATTGTAGTATCATGCAAGATTTATATTTTATTATGGGAGCCTGGAGTAATATTATTTTTACTTAATCCCATTATGGGGTAAACTGTACTTGAATTAATACAATTTAGCCGTCTGATGCAGTTGGGTTTACAAGATAGATGGAATGGGAGATCGAGAACGCCTCAGAGGACATGGAGAGTTGTAAGGTGATGTCACTGGAGAAAGCCGCAGAGCATTGCCTGCCAGGCCAGCTATGTTGTTTAAGCTTCGGGACTTTTCATATCCTTTCATGAAAAAATGCACAGATATCAGTTGAATTCATCCAGAAAACAGACACAAGTAAACAATACTAGGCAGGATAATCAAAAGTGCTATTTTTGACTCGAAGAATTTGTTTACAAAGAATTCAATAGAAAGACAATTTATAACTCTAAAAAATATGAAGCTTCCTGTTTCTGCCATTCAAAAAGCTTAAACTAGCTACATAAACTATCACTTTTATGCTTCTAAATCTATTCTATCTCAGATTACTATTAGCGCAATTCAATTTTGACATCTAGGATTCTAAAACTCTTTTTGAAAAACAAGGCAAAGCAATTTAAGTAAGATACAGGTTTGGCTAAGGTTTTGTTTTTTGGGGGTTTTTTTTAAGTTCAGGATATGTTACAAATATAAAGATATAAATCATGTCACTTTTTGTTATTTACTAAATTAATTGTGCCTAATTTCAAGCAGCAAATACTTTTTTCCAGTGCATTTAATCTCTTGGCTTTATGCAGTGAAAAGATGGTTCTTAAAAATGGCATCTGATGCAATTATTCTGTTAATGTACAATGAAATGTCCATTTCTAACCTCTTAGGTTGAAAAAGCAAAGAAGGAAAAATAAAATTAATGAAATATAAACTGAGTTATAATTTTGGTGAAATTAAGCTTGATTAATTAATTACATGATGTTTCTTCAAAGGATAAGCATCTCTGGTGGTCTGACTCCACCAGTAGCACCACAAGAGAAAAGTGAGTGATGTAATTTCTGGAAATTTACAGCCTTTTAAACTCACTGTTGTGCCAAGTTCTCACGCAGTAGCAATGAGAAAGTGTGAATACATAATATTTGATTTCACAGTCCTCAGATCCACCACCAAGTAATTAATAACAATTTTGTCTTAATTCACATATTAATTTTAGTCTTTCATTCTAATTATTCATTCATGATAGTTATGAGATTAAATATTAAAAAGATCCTTCTTAGGAATTTTTGCTCGAGATTTCCTTAGCTATCCAAGCATCATCTATCAAAGTTATCTTTGAAAGAACTCATACATGATATTATTTTTTAATTTTAAATTTTAGGAACAGTTAAATAAGATTAGTACACTATAGCTAGAAGTCAAACTGTTTTAACAGGGCAACTATTAACTGGGGAGGAAGCTTTGAAAACAAAGGGTTGCATTCTGACAGTTCCACTATAAAGGTTTCAAAGGGCAAGAAAATAAAAATCTATTTGTGTAAAAACAGTTGTGCATATTTTATATTGATAAAGATACAATTTCCATATTCTATTTTTACTACTCTTTTCACCAGAAAATAACAAGTTATTCATATGATTATTTCCTTTTTAAGGGCCAAGAGTCATATTCTATATTTCACTCTGGAGAATAATTGTGTTAATATCTATCACCTTTCCTTTAGTCAATCACTTTTATTTTCTTAGAATTTCTTTGCCTGTGAGCCACAGACAGTCTCAGAGGTTATTTTTTTCCTTTTTTCTTTTTCTTTTTTCTTTTAGGGACAGTAGTTGACTCTGTCCCTAACAATTACTAATTGAGTAAATTTGGGAGAGAGTAGCATAAAGTTCATGTTAGCCTTGGTTCTGGATCATATTCTACAGCTGATTTTACGTGACAATAGGATGGACTATAAGTCAGATTTGTCTTGGAATATGAAAGAAACAAGTAACAGAATAAAGAGTCCTGGTGGTATAGGATGTTACGTGCTGGGGCTGCTAAATTCTCTTGTGAAGATCTACAGCGTTAGAAGGCTCATAGATGGCTTGCAAGAGTCAGAATTAGCTCCATAGAATGGCAGTGGGTTCGGTTTGAGTTAGTAACAGAATGCCCATGATGTACATTCCGTCCCAACATATGTACACATAAACTGAAAGCCATCAGGTTATCTGATTTTATATTATAAATGGTGATTTATTCCTCTCATTAACTCAACAAATTCTCCAGGATATAATCTCTGCTAATGGAGTATTATCTCCCAATATGTCTTGTTAGTATTCTGAGCTATAATGCGTAGGAAGTGGCATATACTTCATCTTACTATAATGGATGATGGAAAAGATAATGCCTTCAAAAAGTCCAGGCCCCCTGAAGCACCTGCAAAAGGAGGCCTGATAGCATGGCATGTATGGAGAGTAGGCTGCTTAACAAAAGGGTGGCAGTCCAAACCCACCAGGTACTTGGAGGGAAATGCAATGGCAGTCTCTTCATGCAAAGTGTTATAGACTTGGAAACTCAGTGAAGGGTCACCATGAGTTGGAATTGAGCTATGGGAGTGCATTTTAATTTTTGAGGGAATTTATATGTGTGAGTAAGGAGCTGTGCACAGGCATTCAGTTTGCATTCATCTGCTGCTCCTGGGGAGAAAGACAGACAATCTCCTCCCATGCAATATATACTGTCTAAAGATCTGTCCAAAGCTCAGATGTAAGTCAATTCTGACTCTATAGTAATGAGGTTAGCTAAGTTACATGTACCTACAGCACTAATTATTAGTGCTCTAAATTGACTGACAACGAAACTTTGGGTACTGTAGAAAAGTAATTTACCTTGGCAGTAGATGTTTGAAATTTAAGAATATAAGCGAGTACAAAGATTGATCGAAGGCACACTATGGATTAACGGCAAATTAGTGAATATACATGAGTCAATTTGATCCTTGTTACCTATGCTGTCGTGTTGTTGAGTACTGTCAAGTTGGAACTGACCCATTGTCAACCCTCCAGCGAGTTTTCAGAGGCAGTGAATCACACAGGAGGAGTTTGTTCATTCTTCTTCTATGGAGCAGCTGGTGAATTTGCCCTTGAGATTGCAGTGTAATTTCTTACCAATAGGCCATTAGAGCTCCCTACAGATCATCATAAAAATTTCCTTCTTCTCCCATAGTCTCTACACTCCCTAGGAGACCTCTAGAAACCTATAGGGTAAATGTTTAGAAATATGAAAAATGAAAATTATAAAAAGAAATGAAAGTATCATATGGGAAACAAATGTTTACATTTGAGTCATACAGAAATCTCTAAACAGCATAAAATGAAATAGAAATTAGTGAATTTCTGACAGATATGACAAGGTAACACATTAAAATGTTTAAGTGAAGTTAGCCAGAATTATTGCCACCTAGAAAGAAAATAACATGTAGTTGCAAAATAATTAAACAAGAATGAAAAAGAATTTTACTACAGCAAGAAATGACAAATAATAAAACCTTAGCAATCAAATTTCAAATATATATTCACTGATAAAATGAATTTGTATTTGTGACATGAGATTGCATGTGTAAATTCTACACGCAACTAAATCTTCTTAATTGCTTTGCTCATGAAACTGCAGTTTTATGGTAAAGTTATGTAGTAACCTAGTGCTTGACAATTTACAAAGTCTCTTCATTTATTATTTCATTTGGAAGTTTAACAATTCAAAATATTCTCTATCATAGAAGAAAATTAAATTAGTTCCTTAAACACATTGCATAGTATAAACATTATATGTGATACATTATTCAATGGTGCCTAAAACAATGCAAATTTAACTACACAACATACATACATATATACAAGTATATAGATAAATAGTAAGTTAAAATGTCCGATACATTTAGACCTCTGTAGCTTTTGGATAACAATTATCATAATCAAATAATGCATGAACATATATTTTAGTCAAAGCATAAGGTAAGGCTTACTATCATAACAAATATTTCATTTTTTCTGTAAACACATAATATTGAAAGATAAACTAACAAACACTTTAGATGATTGAAAATATAACTTAAAGCAAAGAAAATGGAACTAATTGAAACAAAGAAGTGTTTAAAGTACTAAGGGGTAAAGAAGAAACTTTTTCTCTCTGAAAACTCAAAGTTATGGAGGCAAAGAAAGACAATATAAAGATGAAAACAAATAATCACAACATGGATACTGCATTGTTTGTTTTCTTTTTTTTTTAAAGGCATTACTGATTATTTCGGCTTAAAATGTGAAGAGCTCAAGAAGGAAAAACTACAGTATTATGCAAGTAACACATTTAAAAAATGCAATTGCATTTGTATAAAATCATTGAGGTAGGTTTTTATTTGAATGTAGCCAAATATAAGAATGATTCTGTTAGTAAATTGAGAAAATAATTATGACTGGAAATTGTTAAAAGCAACTGGAATTGTTAAAAGAGGGTTAATCTAAGAATGTGCCAGCATTTTGATGAAGGTAGGTTATAATTATTATAAAACTTTTTTTAGGGAAAGGGGACATGCAATTGCCTTGAAGTCTGAAGAAGTCTGCCAAAACAAAAACAAACTTCAGAAATAGTAATCGACAGTGGTGGTACAATCTTGGTTTGAATGGAAAAAGAATCACCTGATGGAGTGAAGTTTCAGTGTTTTGTTTTTTGTTTTTTTTATGTGCCATAAATGCCTGCCCAGCAAAATGTATTCAGTCAACAAATATTTATGAACCTTCTCTATTTTTCTGGCACTTAGCAAAGTATATTGAAGAGAAATTCTGATTTGTGATTATATAAGCAAATCACTCAAGTGATTAGGTGTACTACTATCTATGACTAAGGACCTTGCACCTTTGCAAGATTCATGACACACAAATAAACCACTGGCATGGATTTCTCAAGTATTGAATAAGAGACCTAATTAGAACATGTTGACTTCTACAGTTTGAAAAAAAAAGAAATTGTTGTATAATCATTACTCATCAAATATATGCAGAGAGCCAATCAATGATTACTAGAGATTTAACAGTGATAGGAGAAAAAAGATAATCTCTGAAAACTTCTGAGTATATTATATGAAAATAAATGGGTGAGAATTTCACTTGCAAACAAACATTCCATTTCTGCCTATACAAAAATAGCAACTAAAACAGAAATAAGCAAACAACAACAAAAATGTAAAAAAATAATGAAATGTTTGAAATAAAACAGTCAAGTAGGTTATGATGATATGTATTTAGAAGTGTTTATAATTGGAGAAGATACCATGGACAGAGAAAAGAGCACTATTTGCAGTATCTCCTAGAAAATGATGATTGAGCATTTTAGAGCATTCTGGATATCTGCAGCAATTTCTAAGTCACCCGTGGCAATCTCATTAAATGCATGCCTACCTTTCCTGATCCCTCCATCAGAAGCACACGTGTAATCACCTGTTGTCAGTAGGAAACATGTTTCCCCTCTTCTGTTTTTGTCTCTGGTACTAGAGCGTCTGATGGGGAGCCGTTCTGGGGGTGATAACGGCGGCTCACTTCCTGTACTGTCGTCACCTGATAACACTGGTCACAGCACCATGCCCATGGACAGACAGTGACGGATGAGGAAATGAGACAGTACAAAGAGTTTACACGAATGCCCATAGTCCAGTCACTCCATATACAAAACACAGTCATCACATCACAATTAAGGAAGAGAAAGAAATGTCATCGCTCATAAAATTTTAGGCAGACCAAAATGGAAATATATGTAAAAGGGAAAGACTATTTTGGGGGAAATTTTAACTCAATATTGAACTTTATATCGTAAGAAATTTGTTTTTACACAACTAACATGACCTGGGCCAAGATTGGATAATGGTCAGATACGCTGTTCATAGAGTCTATGAGCCACAGTTGACTTGAAGGCATATAACAACAACATGAACTCAGAAGAGGTGTGCTATTTAAAACTAAATTAAGCACAGATAAAAGATTTCATTTGTGATAATTTAGTCTTACTATGATTGGCATGTCTCATTAGCATGAACAATGACTTTTTAAGACAGGGAGCGGTATATATAAGAGTACACTCTTAGTCAAGGATATGTCTTTATAGTCTTTTTACAATAAATGTTTTTATTCTTTTCTAAGCTAAAATGTCTCTGAAGAAATCTTAATCAGTGTAATTCCAAACCAAACAAATTTCATGTCAAGTACTCTATTTTTAAGGGAAAAAAACCAAAAAAAACCAAAACCAAAAACCAAAACAAAACATTTTGGGCTTAAAAATGAAGTCCAATCAATCTTCCAACATGCCCTTGAAGGTACTGTTCCCTTCTTGATGCTAGCGAAAGACTTTTGGAACATACCTTCATATTTTCTAACCTGTGAAAACAATGATGTCCTAGAAGAGATTGTTTTCTGTTTCTACACTCTTCAAGAATGTTTTGCATATCCATCCTGTGAGGATAGCAATGCCACCTAAAAGCCATCTTTCTTAAAGACACTCTTGGAATATTAGTTTTCAAATACTTATTTGGGAAGACTGCGGAACCATCTACTAAGTGACTATAAGGGCTGTGAACAAAGTGCTTATGTAAGAGTTTAAAGTAATCTCAATTTATTGTTTTATTTTTTTATTTATCCCATAAAAAATGTCTAGAAGTTAAAGAGGAAGCTATAAAAGTGTCACTTGTCTTTGTTGTTTGTTTTATTTAATTGGTATTATGTCTGATTGGGATAACTTGTTATTCTAGGATTGTCAGAGGTAAATTTTCTACAAAAGAAAAAAGATCAAATATATTTAAGTTTCAGGGGCTATATATGCCTTAAACTTTCAAACGAGACGGGAAGTTAATTAAACTGTTTAGTATGCAAAATATTTCATCTGTATCAGACATAACAGACTACAGATGACTGTGTCTTTGGCAAACTAAATACCAACTTATAGTCAGTCAATTAAAAATAATATGTGGCAATAGAATTGGTTCTTCTGGTGGTAAATCATCCACAATTTTGTTCTAAGAGTAGGCATAGCCCAATGCATAGTGCATAATAAAAGGAAATTCACAGAGGAGTAACTTTTCCGGTGGTTATACAAATGTATACCTTGACTAACGGTGAGTGAGTGAGTTATATTACAAGTCATCTTGCCTCACCAAAGAGCTTATATTGAGATGTCCAGACTATAAATGTGACAATTTAGCGAATCCTCCAAAATATTCCTAGGAAAGAGTTTTATTATTAAAAGATCTTTCTTCCATATTACCTCTTTGGTCTTTAAGCTTTTGCAATGAAAATATCTAGTCTTCTTAAACAACTGCTTCTTGTGAATTATATTGAGATGTACACTACCATGTGGCAGAGGTAAAACTGAGACAAACACACCAATTCAAACAATATGAAGATCAACAATTTGAAGATGAAAGGTGGAAGATGACCGATATTATACCATCACATCATGCAGGAAAACAAAACATTGGCACAAAAGCAACAAACAGGCAAAAGAAAATATTGTCACCATCAGCAAAAGGCATTCCCGTTAAAGCAGGAAAACTCTATAGACCAGCTATGCAGATTTCTATTTGAAGTTCATTTAGAAATGCTCTAACTTAGTAATCTAAAAGCCTGACACATGCATGAATGTTTAGTGAAGGGGTAGGGTAGGGCTGAGAAGTCATGAACATTTGCAGAAAATAAGAATGGCTGCCTTCCACCCAGGATACTGGTCTATAAAGTATTTAACAGCATGCACTTGAAATCGGGCCTTACCTGATCGATTACGTTCCAGAAGTAGATTGTCTTTGCCTAAACACATGTCACTCTGCGTGCTATTGCAGGCCATATTTAACTCTGTCTTACAAAAGGTCGGTGAGCTTGCCTGAGGCGCAGGAGGAATGTGCTTCTTTCTTTTCCTTGGAAGTTTCTGCTTCGCCATTGCCAAGGAGTAGTACATTCCAAAATTGTTCACGATCACAGGCACTGGCATGGCTATGGTCAGCACTCCAGCCAGAGCACAAAGGGCTCCAACCAGCATCCCTGACCACGTTTGGGGGTACATATCCCCATAGCCTAAGGTAGTCATGGTCACTACAGCCCACCAGAACCCAATGGGAATGTTTTTGAACTGTGTGTGCTCACTAGCTGAAGGATCATTAGGTTGAGCTCCTACTCTCTCAGCGTAGTAGATCATAGTGGCAAATATCAAAACTCCTAGAGCCAGGAAGATTATCAGCAGCAAAAATTCATTAGTACTAGCACGAAGAGTGTGTCCAAGCACCCTCAGGCCTACAAAATGGCGGGTGAGCTTGAAGATTCTCAGGATCCTCACAAACCTTACCACCCTGAGGAAGCCGAGGACATCTTTAGCAGCTTTGGACGAGAGACCACTGAGTCCCACCTCTAAGTAGAAGGGTAGGATGGCCACAAAGTCAATGATATTCAAGAGGTTTTTGACGAATTCAAGTTTATTGGGGGAGAAAACAATGCGGACTAAAAATTCAAAAGTAAACCACACCACACATACTCCTTCTACATACGTCAAGGCAGGATCCGTTTCTATTTCATACTGCAGAATGACACTTGTGCTGTTGAAGACTGGTTCTGTCTTGTTTCTAACAATGTTGAAAGCTTCATGTGTTTCCAGGCAAAAGGTTGTGATTGAAACCAGGATGAAGAATAAAGAAGCAAAAGCAATAAACTGTAGGGAAAAAAGAACAAAAACAACGAATAGACAGTGATTTGAATACAGTATGCTTTAACTAAACCTAAGAACATGGATCTCTGTAGACAGCAAAGATAATAAAAGAAACATGCATGGAGTTTTCATTTGAGTTGTTACTCAAATAGGAGAAAGAGTTGTATAAATAAGACTTGTGTATGTAACATTAATTACAGTTAGAGATGTAACATGTTCCAAATTATTTTCTCCAACTTATATAAATTAATATAAGTTATCTTTATTTTGGAAAAAAAGTCTTCAATATTTTTTCAAGAAAATATACCTGTGAAGAGAAAATAAAAATTACCAAAAGATAATATTTAAGAGAAAGAGATATAAATGGTTTTATTTATAACTTAGAATTCTTCACAAACTAGATTGTTTTATATTCATCAATATATAAAATGCATTTTACAATGAAGGAAATTTGATATTCTTCTACATAGATTGTACACAGTAGACATTTAATGTGCTTATATTTATAAATAAAATGCTTTTAGATATAATGAAGTATGAATATAGAAAAAAATTTCAAGAGATTTATCACCATGGTGATGTAGTCTCTAAGGAATTACACCACTAATACAAAGGCTACTTTGGATTCATCAGCATCACTGCAGGTAAAAAATTATCAATTCCTTTCCATGTGATTTATAGCCTGGGAAAACCATGGAAACTCATCTATGAGGCAATTCTGATTTTATGACAATGAGTTTGGGTTTGAAATTAGTTTGAGTCTAATTTGAAAAAAGCTTATCCAAATAGGAGTAGGTAACAGACTGGGGAGAGAGAAATAGAATTACAGAATCAATTGAAAAATTGTTTTCTTCCTCTAGTGAAAAATAAGAGAAGTCTAAGAAAGGTAATCCAACAGAGTGAGGAAATTACCAAACATCATTGATATCACAAGCAAGCAATATTCTGCTAAAGATTATCCAAAAACGACTGGAATAGCACCTGAACAGAGAATTCCCTGAAGTGCAGGCTGAGTTTAGAAGAGGTTGAAGTACTAGGAATACTAGGAATATTATAGGTAACGTCAGGTGAATCTGGGCTCAAAGAGGAGACTATCAGAGGAATATCTGTGTTTCATTGACTATGCAGACGTTTGACTGTGTGCATCACAATAAACTGTGGCTGACTCTGAAAAGAATGGAAATCCCAGAACAGTTGATTGTGCTTATGTGAAACCTTCCTTGAACCAGGAGGCAGTCATCAGAACATAGCAAGGAACTTCTGCATCGTTCAACACTGGGAAGGGTTTGCGTCAAGGATGTGTCCTATCTCCATAGCTTTTCAACTTATATGTGAAACAGATTATCTGGGAGGCTGGGCTCTATGAGGAGAAGTGTGGCATCAGGATTGGAGGCAAAATTGTCAACAGTCTGTGTTATGCAGTTGACCCAAACCTCCTTGCTGAGACTGAGGAGGACTTGAAATATTTGCTGCAGAAGGTCAAGGACTGCAGCCTATGGATTTAAGCTCTACATCAAGAAAACAAAGATTCTCACCACTAGGCCAATTGGCAGCATCATGATGGATGGTGAAGAGATTGAGATTGTGAACCGTTTAGTTTTCTTGTCTCTCCAATCAATACTCTTGGTGCCAGCAACCAGGAAATTAAAAGACAAATTGCATCGGGAAAGTCTGCTGTCAGAGACTTCTCCAAAATACTGAAGAGCAACCAGGTCAGTCTGGAGACTAAAGTAAGCCTGATCCAGGCCATGGTGTTTGCAATTACTTGCTATGCATCAGAGAGCTGGACAATGACTAGGGATGGTAGAAAGAAAATTGACGCCTTTGAACTGTAATGCTGGAGAAGAGTGTTGAATATATCATGGACTGCTAGAAGAACAAACAAGTTCATCCTAGAAAGGGTGAAGCCAGACTGCTCCTTGGAGGCAGGGATTCGGACGCTTCATCTGACATACTTTGAACATGTTGCATGGAGGGACCAGTCCTTGGAGAGGGACATCATGCTTGGGTGAGTGGATGGATAGTTCAGTAGAGGAAGACCCTCTATGAGATGAATTGATTCAGCGACTGGGGTAATGGTGTAGGTATATCAGAGACAGTAAGATTGGCACAGAATAGAGCAGGGTTTAAGGTTGTAGTACGTAGGGTCACTATGAGTTGCAGACAACTCAATGGCATATAACAACTACAGCAACAACAACTATGGTTTTGTCCAGAGGGAGTTGTTGCTAACACAAAGACCTCAGCTCTTTGGCAGTTTTATTTGGCCAGTGCATCCTGGTAGAAATACAGGAAATCTCCCCAGTAAAATGCCAAGGAAAACCCTACCTTGGAAACCCAATGGATTTTCAGCTGTGAGTTGATTCTGATCTATGACACTGAGCTTGGTTTTTTTTGGTATTTTCTATTTTATTTAAAAAAGAATCTTAGAAATAATTATATAATTTTTAATATTAATGTATGTTCCTTCATCATTATAAATAACTTCCCCATGAGTTACATATGGGGTAGATTTATTCACTACATTACCGTGTGATCAACTATTGGCAAAATGGCAAATATTTCAAACCTAACTGTAGAAAATAGCAAGATCAGAGCACACATATACCTTCATTTGAGAATGCTGGTCCATGTACTAGTTGTTCTTTAATTTGTTTTGTTGTGTTGGGGGTTTTTTAGTGAACTGTGACTTCAAAATATTATAGTAACATATTAGAAAGCTATAGTTTTAATTCAATCATCTATTTGATTTTTAGTCAATAACATATGAACACTTACATAACATATATTTCTCACTAGTTTTATATACTTTTAAAGCACTTTATATATAATCAACTCATAGTATAGACTGTGTTAATACACATAATACTACTATTGTCATTATTAGGTGTTTCTATCTCATTGCTATGAAGTCAGATTCGACACATAGCTGACTCTTCAGTGGTTCTCTGAAGCTGTAAATTGCACAGGAAGAGATTGTCCATCTTTTTCCTGTTGAGCAGCTGGTGGATAAGTAAACTGCCAGAGATGTGTGGCCTTTGGATTAGCAGTGCACTCCCTATGGACAATAGCACCTGAACTCCCTTGTTAGCTCTGTTGTTTGTTGTTGCTGTGTACTGTAGAGTTGGAACCAACCCATAGTTGACCCTATGGTAGGTTTTCAGAGACAGTTCATCACACAGGAGACTGCACATCCTTCTCCTGTAGAAAAGATGGTGGCCTTGAACCATGTGCCTTCAGGATTGCAGCGCAACTTCTTGCCTTTATGTGACAGAATACAACTTGTCATATAGTGTTTTCTAGGCTGTTGTACGTGTTTTTATTATGTGCTTTAGAGTCATCTGTGACTAATAGCGACCTTATATACAATAGCTCTGAACCTTGGCCTCTCTTGAGCTAGTTTCACTGTCTCTAACACACATACCCTCATTACTCTAGGCATTGAGTCAATCCATCTCATTGAGGGTCTTCCTCTCTTGTGCTGCCCCTCCACCTTTCCAAGCATGATGTCCTCCTCCAAGGTCTGCTCTCTCCTGGCAACATGTCCAAAATATGTGAAGTTGAACTTCAAAATTATTGCCTCCAAGAAGCAGCAGCTCTGTTGTCATGAATTGGAGTGACTTAATGACATCACAAAACAATGACAATCTTTACAGAGGAGGCCTTGTGGACACAGAGGTTAAAAACTTAATTTCTAACCTATATGTTTGCACCCATCAGATATTTCATAAGGAAAAGATTTGATAGTCTTTTATAAAGATCAATCTTGGAAACCCTGTTGGATAGTTCTGCCCTGTCCTCCTTTGAGTCTGATTTCTCTGTGTCACTATCTACTGGTCAGAATCTACTGGAAGGCAATATATTTTGTTTTGTTTTAATTGTTATGAGAATAGATCACTCTATTGTTTTTTCTGTAGAGTGCCTTCAAACCACTACTTATTAGGTAGAAGCAGAGCACTTAACTACTGTGATACTTTTTTGGGCTGTGGAGTTTATTAAAATTCACATTGATCCTGTATATCAGAGTAGAACTGCCATATGGTTTCATAGGCTGTAATTTTTATGAGAACAGATTGTAGAGGACTGGTTGTTTTGAACTAACAGTCTTCCAATTACCAATTTAGCTAACCATTGAATTCCTACAGTACTTCTGAACTCCATTTTACAAGTAAGATACATTAGGCTAAAGAGGAATGTCACTTTTTCAAGGTCACAGGATGTAAAGTAGCTATGATCAATCAAACTGAGAGACATCTGATTGACAAATTTAACTCCAGATTCTGATCCTTTACCAACCTTTCAAATATGAAATTCAAGTATGTTGAAACCCATTTACTTCAGTTGAAATCAGAGTTCTTATTTAATATCTGAAAACCAAAGCTCAGAAGTATGAGTAGCACTGCTGCAGTTAGTACTCAAGACTTGCAAAGAAGACCGCGTGCTTTTAGATAAAACAGGGTTACTGAACTCCAGAAAACTATTTCTTAATGTCTAAATAAATGCATCTTCGAGAGAAAAAAGTGAGAGGTCAAAGAAATGAGGCTCTTATTTGGAAATAATTAAGAATATTCAAAACTCAAAATTCTTTCCTCTTCTTGTCAACCATATCATTTAGAAAACCCAGATGTCAAGAACATATGAAAACAATTCTTTTCCCTTATAAAGTTTTAGTCTGCCAAATTTAAAAGGGATATACCAAAATACTAAGGTGTTTAATTGACATAACTAGCTGGACTCAACTGTAAGCTTTAGGATTGTTTGTTCAAACTCTATTAGCAGGGTTAAGGAAGGAAAGTCCTGGCAAATTGTTTCTGTAGATTGCCATATACGGTCAGAAGATTTGGGCACATAGTGACTGAGGGAGTAATAGTATAACCGTACAGTTAGGGACAAAATGAGTTAAGTAAAATGAGTTTAGTCAAATAAAATGAGGTGAGGCTGAGAAAGAAAAAAATGTTAAAACAAATAATAAGAGAGGCAAAACTCTTGTTCAATGAAATACA